TTTGGTCTACTGCAATCATTATAATCAGCTGTGCTGAAGCAGAGAAACCTCTAAAACCTGCAGGACAGGGGGCCTTGAGGACCGAGTTTGGGGATGCCTGCTTCAGACAAACCAGCCACAATAAAACCTTCCGCCACAACAATCCCGCCCTCTTGATAAACAACCAATCATATTAACTTTTTTCACTCGTGTAAAGTCCGGCACAACCTGGGAGAATTCTGAAATGCCACAGTTGGAACGGCCGTTTCCCTACGCATTTAAATCTGCCATAAAGAATATAAAAGTCAGAACAGTAAAGGGTAATGTCAGGGATGCTTGCTGGTATCAGCTGAGTCACAGACAGAGTTTTTGTTTATCTTCTCCTGCTTGGTTTTCAGACAAAGGTCTCTGTTAGTGAGTGTGGGAATAGTTTTTTCTTCTTGTCTCCCTTGAGGGGGGAAAGGTCTCCTCAGTGCAGCATGTCTGTTACGGTCAAGGCATCAACTCCTGCTGTGCTCCCCTCATCCCTGTTTATCTCCTGTTGCTTTCTCCCATCTACTTTACCACTTATCACATTCCCATCCCCCTTAATATATTAGTGTTTTGTTTTCCTCACATTTCATATCAGTGTTTAACTAGGTTCCTGCTGTTTTTCTATGCACATTTTGGGTTATTTCGCTGTTCTTTCTCATGCCCCTGTTGCTTGAGTCTCTTTTCTACAGGGACTACAAAATTATCTGGGCCTCCACTTCGTCCTATGTGCCTTTGGTTTTTCCCAATTTTTACTCACCTCCTTTCTGCAGCCTGTCTGTTTTCTGTTAATTAAAAAAATAATCAAACCTAGAGTCGCAAGGAGAAAAACAAACACTAGATCTTTTTGTAAATCTCATGTTGCTTTGCATGTCTTTATTACTGAATATCACATTAGGAATTTAATAAAACCTGCAGCTGCTGTTGGTTTTGATTAAGATCAACAAGAGATATGGCAAATATTTTATAGAAACCCATGTCTTAGATGAAAACACAACGTAATTTGTACATTAGTCACTGGAAATATTTTAACGGATGTGTTGCGATATATTTTGAAATGTGTGTTCTGCAAAAAGTTGGAAGGATTTGGTGTTTAGGAGATGTGCAGAAGAGGGCAGCTATTTACGGTTCTGTAGGAAAGTTTTTCCCACTTCTTGATCTTTTTAAAATTGTGTAACTTTAAGGTGTAACCTGACTACCTTTTATAATTTTAGAAAATTAACTGTAAGGAAATTATCATCCAGAATTGTAGATTTATAGACTAGTGCAGTAGAGCTTCCCTAAGATTTATTAGTAGAGCTTCCGTCCCTAACATTTGTTCTGTATTAGATTTATTTTTATACTTTAAGTAGTTTTAAAAATGGTACTTTTACACTTTTACATGAGTAAAGTCTTCAGATAATACTCTCAATTCTACAAAAGTGTTTTTAAAAAGTGGGATTTATACTTCTGCGTGAGTAATAAATATTAATACTTTTGACACCTCTGTTTAGAAGTAGCAAAGACAGATGTTAGGTTTGATTTGTCAGTATTTACCCATGTAGTCTGAGTCACCCACAGATTTAGGGACTCGAACCTCCTGAATGGAGCCATTTACTAACACAAAATAAAATCTACAGGTTAATGATTCAACATTGTTGCAAACATGGGGTATTTGCTACATAATGCAGGTCTCCTTTTATTTGACCTTGTTTATTATTGTACTTTCTCTGTCTCTACATTTTGCACTAATGCATGCACACAATACAGGAGCAGCAGCAGACACTCATCAGCAGAACATGGACCTCAGATGGAGGTGGCGTGTGCTCTTTGGGAGGAGCGGCGCACTTTAGAAATAAGCTTTAATTTCCTGCAACCGTGGGAATCTGACCTCTTTATCCCAACAGCACAAACTCAGTTGTTTCCTTTTTTCCCCCTCTTTCCCCTTCTATTTATATGTCTGTTTTTAAAAACTTTTTCCTTAGTAAAGTGGAAAAAAAGAAAGCTGTTACTCATGTTACAAGTATTTTGGAAGGCGCAACTTTGGGTGAATCAAATCCCTACGTAATAGGGAAAAGAACCGTCAGTCTATGGATTAGTCATTCCTAAACACCAAATCCCTGCATATAAACAAGAAAAGCAGAATGTGGAGCTTGTAAAAGAAAAACGACCTGCTTTGAAAGAGGTAAGGAGTCAGGGACAGTCTAGAAGAACAAAATATCAGTTGTGGCTTTACAACAACAACAAAAAGAAACTGAGAGTGATAATACTGTAAAATGTTGGATATACGGGATGCATTCAAAAGTGTGCAAGTTTTCATCTTTTGTTTTTGTAAAAAGTTAAAGTAACTTTACTCACAAGCTAACTTTTCCTTAACTGTAAATATCACAATTCATATATTAAATATAAAAAAGTGAATCTAATGAAATACCTTAAATTTGACCCATTTTTTTTCACATTTGCCTGTTTGATGTAATATGTACAGACTTTCACCATCACTACTGACAGTTGTTTCTGGAGTCCCCCATGGATGTGTACTCAGTCCCCTCGTCTTATAACAATATATTTACATTCCATCTGTCCACTTTCAGAGCTACCATTACAGTTAAACAATATACTGCTAAACCTACTTCTGTCATTTTTTTCTTGTTCTTTGTCTACTCAACTGTGCTCCTTGTATCTTTTGTATATATTTTAATTCTGTCTGAAATAATTGACCATTTTACTTCACATTTTTTTTCAACTATGACCTAATAATTGCCATTATTATAGTTCAGTGCTTTTTCAACACTTTTGATTAAAAAGCAGTGATTTGTTTGTCATTTCTTGCTAATTTTAGCCTTATTAACAGTTTATATCAGATTTGTATTAAAGTATATATATCAGAGAGGGTGTGAGATTTCTATAAATACGCGGTATCTTGGTGGGATTATTTGTTGAGATTAAACACGAATTAACAAATCTGGTCTTTATGAGAGACTGGTGAGAAGAAAACTAATCTGAAATACAGACATAAAAAGTCTGGTCTGATGCAATAAAGAAAATTAAACATACTGACCAATAGACTTCGACTTAACTTAATTAATCCGTAGGAATGACTAAATAGCAAAATCTTGTATGGAATTACAAAATTTGGTTAAGAAAAAAAATTCAAACTCTTTAGTAACTTTAACTTATTAAAATATAAAATTGAAAGGGAAAAATAGCAAAAGGAATAGAACACCAAAGGAAATATAGGAGTGAAAATGACCAGTGACATTAAATTAGATCAACATGCTTAGCTGTATATGTGGACAAACTAACACACATAATCCTGAATATATCATCGCCTTAGTCCAGCATGGTGGTGGAAGCATTATGCTTTGGAGATAATTTGTTTCAGAAGGGACAGAGAAGCTGTCTGGTTTTGGTTGTGGTTTAGAGGACCCAAATGCAGAGGCAGAGAGGCTGGGGTGATTCCTTGAAGTTTTAATGTTGAAAGCAGTTAACAAAAGCAGAATCTAAAAATCCAACTAAAAATGTAACACAGACCAGAACCATAGAGACATCAAGGGAAAACACGCACAAGGAGCCAGGGAGAGACGAGGTGAGAATACTACAGCAACGACAGGACCAGCAACAACAAGGAACCAACAAGGAGTGACAGCAGAGGGAGAGTATATGTAGCTGACTGACACAATGGCAGGGCTAACGAGCTGAAAAGGAGCAGGTGTGAGGAGACAACGAGGGAGCCAAGGGGAAAGGAACACACACAAGAGGGCAACAAAGGAAAACAACAGAAAAACAAGAGAACTAACATAAATCTAGAAACTACAACAAAATAGGAATTATACCAATAAAACTAGGAAACATGGCGCAAAGTAAAGGACAACAGAACCAAAACCATGACAAAAGCTAGAGGAGTCCTGCAGTCCAAAAAGGCTATATCTTATGATCATAAGATCATATCATGTTACAATTACCAAGTAATAGTCAGGACCTAAATCTGTAGTGAAATATTGACACATTTAAGTCTCTAGAATTGAAAAAAAAATTGGTAGGCATATGCTACAAAACACCTGTATCTCCTATGACAGGTCAGGCTGGGTCAAGTAAAAAAAAAATGGATACCACACATATCAGGTTTTTATTTGTAAACAATTTAAAAGAAATATATTTTCCACTTAACAAACATGCAGCTTTGTGTCAATGGATCATATAACGCCCTGAGTGCAAACATTAAAGCTTCTGATTGTGATCTGACCACAAAATATAAAGATTCAGGAGGTGTAACTACTCCTGCATTAGCTGTTTATTCCTCTTTTTCCATCTTTCTTTGAACCTTTGTTTTTTTTCTTGCATGTAACCATAAAGGAAAGCAGGCTGCTCAAACAAACAGCTAAGAGTTGCCTACAGAAACCCTTTGTTCCAATGTTGTAAGAAAGGAGAAGGAGATTTTGCTAAGGATGCAGTCTTTATAAGACGGCGGAAAAAAGACACGTTATACTTTATGAGCAGATTTACATCTGTTTACAAGAGAGTGTAAACATTATTGCCTCAGTGTTTCATCTCAACCACACAAAATACAGCTAAATAAAAGACAGATATTTCAGATCATGAAGTGCCTAGCTTTTACAGTTCAGGATGAACAACAGATGATCCAACAGTAACATTCATTGTATCTCTTTCCTTCACAGAAATACGCAAACGAAGAAAGTCTCTACGCAGGAGGTTTGACTCCTTCTCCAAAGAAAAGAAAGAGCGAGGTAAGTTCATGCAGCACACAGACATTTGAGTGGGAAAACAACATCCCATCTATGGCCATAAGCTTAACCCACATGATGAACCATGAATGCATTTCCGTGGATTTTATGTTTACCGCAGCGAACGTCATTATGAAGCACAATGTCCTTTCTGTCCACTGAATTCGCATCACCGCCGCAGACTTCCAGTGGCTTTTACCAGCTATAACCACTCAAGGTCCTTTTAGAAAGACGGTGTTTATAAAGCACAAGAAGCTCAGGGCTACAGACTGAATCATACTGGGTTCACAGAGCGAGGTCTGTGCGTCTTTGTTTCTGCTGGGTTATTGTAATATAAACCCAATAATAAATGAACACAGTCACCCACTGGGCTGCTTTATACAGATGCTGTGTCACATTGAGAGTGACTCATTTAAACGTAATAGCATGCTTTCAGGAAGCAACCACAATATCCTGTAATCAAAGGCTTTATGATACATTTAATCACCAGAAAATGTCACAATCAATATTACTTTGCTATTATGATAACTGCTGAATCTAATACGGTTCTCCCACTAAACTAAGACTAAGTTAAGCCGCTGTAACATCTTTACGATTTAGCCAGCAAATGCCTGAGGTCCCAGAATCTTCTAAAATCCTGGCATTTTCTATGTATTTTTTCAATTTTGGGTGTATAGAGTATTCATGACGAGTCCAGAACTTATGTCCAACAACAGCCTAACTTATGCCTAATGCTCATGAATTGTCACAAGCCAGTGTCCTGAGGGGGGCAGCAATGCACCTGGCCTAATAACTTATAAAAAACGTACCCATAACTTATTCGACATATACCAGCATTTTTACCACATTTTTCGTACTTCAGGAATACGCTGCCTAAATCATGAAGGTATGATAGGGGCGTTAGGTATGGTAAACAACCTAATGTGTATTTAGTTTTATTTTTCTTAAATCTAATCATACCAACTGTTTTATTCTCTAGCCACATTTAAGCAATCGCACTCACAAACACGCACACGACAAACACAGACACACAGATTGGTAGGCACTGCGCACCTGAGGACGGCACTCCGTTTAGCTACAGGGGAAATAATCATTTGGCAAGAGGAAACTGAGATAGAGCCCACTACTTTTGTAATCAAAGAGAACTACTACTACTGAGGTTCAGCAGGAAAGTTTTTACTAACTCTGCTGAAGTGCAACTGGTTTAAGTTGAGTAAAAGTCATAGGAAAACAGTCGTTCCAACCGTTGCATTTCCTAATTCTCCTGATTGGCCGTTTATCAAGAGGGCGGGATTGTTGTTGCGGCAGAAGGTTCGCAGGCACATTTGATTGTGGCCGGTGTCTCAGAAGCATCTTGCTAACCAGTTAGCAACTTAGTGCTAGTAGGTTCCCAATGGGAAATTACATTGGGACCAAATAGTACTAAATTGGTGACTTAGAAACTACACTGTCAAGGAACGCTATGGACAGAGGAAACATGCAAGAGGAGGAGAGTTTTGTGTTGGAGGTCGAGAATGAGTCTCCTCCGCCATGCATTTTTTATTTAGAGGAGGAAAGTGGGTACGAAGATGTTCTGGAAGAGGACACCAGGACGGCAGAAGCTTGGTTTGGTGTAGAAGGCTTACAGCCGTACATGTTTGAGTCCTTGCCTTGCAACTCTGCCAGTTCTGTTAGCTCTACGCCTGCTGAAGACGCAGACGTCCATTCCTGTGAACACTGGGACGGAACTCACTGGGAAATGAAATGATTCTCATTTCAAACGTTGTGTATATTAGCTGCGACATATCAATCAAGATATTATGACCGAAAAAATTTGATTGACAGATGACCGTTGATATATGATTGGCCGAATTTAGGCGCACAAGCTGACTGGCCTGCATAAGATAACGGAAAAAACCCCCCACAGATTTTAAGACTGAATTTTTTTCAAATAGAAATGTTCTAATTTGGGACACTATCTTCTGATAAAGAGTACATTTATATACATTTTTAAGCCAGAATGATTTGACATTTAAATATGACTTCCTTATGACTTGATTTTAACATAGATAGGCCTATGTAGTTTTACTTTTAGTCACACCACATACATAAAAACTTCTACTACAGCCTCTACACTGATTAGGAAATCCTTCAAATGCTATGAAAGTGTCTTTGGAGTCTAATCTTACATGGAAGATATAATTAATATCCACCCTTAGTCAGAACAGGAGGGACTAAGGAGGACAAAGACATGCAGTCCACAATTCAGGTCTATATATCAGGAATACTAGGTCAATGTCAGTATTATTTTTTTAACAGATATAGATAGGAGCAGAATCCTCCCTAACCAAAACAATATGGGGTTATTTTTCTTTTTGTGGATGCAAACAAAAGGAAAATGCATATTGTAAATTCATTTTTTAAAAAGATGCAATCTAGAAATGAAACAAAATGAAAGAAGCCTTGATAATGTCTTTGCTGTTTTCTCAGATTTTATTTATCAGCATGTTTTAACATTATTTTAAAAATGTACATCTTTTTAGCTGTCATTAAATTTTTTTTTTCAAACTTCAGATTGAGATTTACGACATGCATTCTTCTCAACTTGATTAGAGCACATTCTCTAAATATTCTCTGGAGTAAGGAGTGAAGAAACATTTCTATAGGCTCACAGCAGCATTTCTATTGGGCAATGTGCACATCAAGAGCAAACCTTTGTATTTGGGCTTGAAGTGAAGAGAAGATGATCTATGAAATGCAGTTTGAAAAGAACGTAATTCATAAAACAGTATTAAATAGAGAAATTAGAAGAAAAAAAAACTGTTTCACTGAAGAAGTTATTCAAGATTTTTATTTCTCGATTGAATTTCTCTTATTTCCATTTTCAAACCATGTTCTTTGCTTGCAACAATAATTGAACGACTATTGGCTGCACAGTGGGACAGTGAGTTTCCCTGTGCATGTGTGGGTTCTCTCCAGGTACTCTGGTTTCCTCTCACAGTCCAAAAACAGGACTGCTAGGTTAACTGTCTTGTGTGAATTGTCCTTAGGTGTGAGTGTGATCTCCCATAAACTGTCAGAGAAAGGCACCGTGACCCTGACAAGGACTAAGCAGGGGAAGAAGCATGGATGGATGGATGGATGGATGGATGGATGGATGGATGGATGGATGGATGGATGGATGGATGGATGGATGGATGGATGGATGGACGGACCCCAGTCATCCTCTGTAGATGGCCGCTTATACTGAGCCTGGTTCTGCTGGAGGTTTCTTCCTGTTAAAAGGGAGTTTTTCCTCTCCACTGTCGCTACAAGCATGCTTAGTGTGAGGGATTGCCTTCGAGTCAATGAGTCGATGCATTCAACTGGTTTTCCTTAGATGGAAAACTTTTAATCAATTTGACTGTATGATCTGGTGAACTGTAAAGTGCCTTGAGATGATGTGTTGTGAATTGGCGCTATATAAATAAACTGAATTGAATTTAATGGATGGACAGATGGATGGATATAATGATAAAAATAATAGAATTCTGGTTAAAGCTGAACTAAAATCTTGTACAATAAATGTAATTTGCAAGTAGTTTTCTGTTCAAGTCTCAAGCCTTCACCCCAATATAGACTCATTTCTCTCTTTTCTGCAAATTGTAACTCTTGACTAACAGCCTTATTCACCTGGAATAACTGTGTAGTTTTGTATATGGAGTCAGAAATGGTGTAAAGACAATTTAAGGTCTGAGCATGTTTTGTGTTATCCACTCATATTTATAAAAGCCAAAGGGCTTCTTGATGGCTTTGTGGTACAACAATGGAGCAGGAAGGACAATTCTAGATCATATGTTTGTTATTATGTTTGCCGTGTATCCCACATCCTTCCCACGGCCCTGTCAGGCAGTTTTACTCCATTTTCTTGTTGAATTTTTTTTTTTGGTTGTCCTGCCAAACAGAAAACAAAGACATCTGTGGTAGTTGTAAACACAGAATTTTGTACGTCCCTGCTGTTCTGAGTTTGTGTCGAATGGAACTGATGCTTTAATCACTGTGGATCAAATACAGCTCCTCATCCTGAGGCTTTAGTAGTCCAGAGCATGTAAACAGAGGGAGCTCACTGGTGTTTCTTTCCCCTCCCTCCCTTCCTCCTGCCCTCATCTCATTTATTTACCTCGATCAGGCCATGTGACCCGACCTCTCAGAATGAGATGTTCCCTGGTCTCAGGTGATTATCGAATCAGGCCCGTTACGATCCAACACACCCGACGCACACATTCCTCTCTGTCTGTGCATATCTTTAAATCCAGCCTGCAGCCTCTTCCACACAGACACTCCAAAGGCCTCCATCACCCAGCTAATCAAAACACAGGACATCGGGACCTGCGCCCGGCGCACTCAAAGCTAACACTGTCTCTAGGCTGCAGGAGGGGGGTGTGATTGTCAAGCTTCCAGGGGTCAGCAGGTTGTAGATTACAGTACATATAACAGGATTACGCCTTGGTTACTGTAATCTGTTTGGAGATGCTGTAAAGGAATCAGATGTGCAGTTCTGTGTGGCTAACTAGCTGTTTGCAGTGCTTTCAGGGTTGCTTTAAATGGGCATACATGTATTTGTTTTTTAAGATCAATACCACATAGGACCTTTATTATTATCAGACTACTGCTTTGGCTAAAGAAAACAGAGGAGAAGCCTGAGCAGCAGTGCAATAAATCTGCTTCAGTCCTACGTTACTGGGAGACTCTAAACTCCAGAGGGAGAGGAGTCAGATTTATGAACACAAACACAGCTGTTTTCCTTAGCGTTAGTATTCTTTTTATAATTAACCCCAGCTGGTCTGACTGTCAAACACAATGAGGTTAATGCTATAAAAAGAGTTCATTGTGATATTTTTTTACATTCTTTTTAAATTATATTTCTTTTTTCCCCTAAAAACGCTATTTCTATGTATTTTTTTTTTTGGCATTTATTGATCCAAACGAGTGATTAATTATTATCATGTTAAAAATAATAATGCTGGTCCAGTAGTTGGCAATAA